TACAATCTGCAAATGTATTAGCAAAAGATCATTCATAATTATAATCCTGGTGTTCCCTATAATTCAAACTTAAACATAAACACAGTGTGTGGAACAGTCCATATTGATAGGTAGAAGGCAGAGGATTAGTGGTCCAGTCATGCATATCCTATGTTGTTATAAGCTGTATGACAAATGGCCTGTATGACTGATGGGAGGATACCATTTGATATATAGTTATGTCGTTCAGATATTAGGCAATATTTTGTTCGCTCACAGATTCCGTAAAGCTTCTAAATAAAATAAAATCGTCGCACAGTACTTTTATCGGTGTACGATAAATTTACTGTTTTTCAAAGCAGAATAAATTCTCGGACAACACTTAGAAGTGTTTTTATTTTAAAACCGTTTTAATATTTGCAGTTAACTTTACACCATCGAATAGGAAATTTAATATTCTCCACCTCTGCGTAATTGTATGGCCAGGGGTAGATCGAGTGCCGCGTGAGAGCAATTCTCGCGCAACCTTTACTTTTCCGATCTTAGGAAAATGTGCGTCAGAAAAAAACCCTCGGCATCCAGAGGGTTAATGGTGTAGCTTAGAGTCTTGGATTCCACCATTTCTGTGTTCCTCGGTGCTGGTGTTTTAAGGTATTAATGTTCATTGGTTGTCGTTATTATGTTGGCATACTTGTTATTGTCATCATCATCGTCGTTATTATTATTATTAGTAGAAGTAGTAGTCACTGATCTACGCGTGAGTGAATTAAAACAGTAGTATTTTCCGTGCACGTGGTTATAGTGCGTGTACATCTGTGGGCGCAACATCTTGAGTGTACACATCACAGTATTGATATGTTATATCAACATTTACTGATGGAAACCATGGCGTTAGTTGGGTTTAAAGCCGTTACGGCGAAAACCAATAAAGAGTGAGTGAGTGAGTGAATGAGTATTGTTTTACGCCGCTTTTAGCAATATTCCAGCAATAACACGGCGGGGGTCACCAGAAATGGGCGTCACATATTGTACCTATGTCGGGAATCGAACGTCTTCGTGACTTTAAAATACTTTAACCACACCACTACCCGACCGCCCCTAAACCAATTAAGAACGGATGGGAGGTATTCTTTGTTCATATGCAACTACCTTTGACGGTAATACAGTTTCAGGGCATAACCATCATATAATACACAGATCAGGCCTCCACAGATTGCATAACTCAGAGTGTGGTATAATTATTTTTATTTTTCCTGAATTTTTATGTCTAGTAGAACTGTAAAACAGGACCGTTTAGCCAATATATAGAAATAAAAAAGCGAGTGGATCTTCCAGTTTGAATCCTGACTGTCAAATAAACGGGCGAAAAGATCCAATGCATCTCAATATATATAGTGCAGTGAACGATTTCTTTTTGTGAACAATTAAGACATTCTTTTCTTCTTCTAACATTTTAAGGAACAGAGTATATTATTTTAAACAGAATTTCCAAGCCTACCTCAGTGTGTTCTCCAACAATATGCTGAAATGCTGTGTAATAAACAATATGCTGAAATGCTGTGAAACACCGGAAATAATGTTCAAAGCAGTAAATTAAACCATGTCACTAACTCACTCGCACAGATCAGTGGGATTCCTTGTTACGCAGACATCTGTTATTAGGTGACACCTGCACCAGATGCTACACGAATAACCATTTAGTATATGGAAAGAACTGAATCAATCAATAGATCATGTGTTTCCCTGTATAGGTGAAAAAAGGAATTCAAGCTGTGACTCACCGAAGGTTGCACATATTTGACAGGAGGGACAAACTGACATGGTGCTATAACTAGATGTTTCTTTTCCGTGCAATCATTCGTATCTTCTGTGTTGACATCACCCGCTCGAAACTCGCATGACGCATAACGTGATACAGGTTGTCATATACTTTTCATATTTCCACTGAAAATGTCACAAAGTACAAAATTCAAAAATCTTTCTGCTTGAGTATCATTATCAAAATGATTTTCTGGTCCATGGGTCTCTGCATTTATTTATAGGCCGCCGTCTTATTGGCATGGACTATGTCTGTGAGGCGTCAGGCAACAAAACACTTACCTTTTTATGCAAATTGTGTGAGTGGCGGGTGTTACCGGCAGGACAGGAAACGCTTACATCGAGACTGGTTATTGTCTGGCGTTGACGTTTTATGTTTAGTTTAGGACAGGTAACTTTATATATTCCTTATACCGGATATAAATACTAGTATCATTTGGGATGTCAGGTAGTCGTGTGGGGGTCTTCCCGGCACGTATTATTAAGGTGTTAAAAGTTAAGGTTTAATCCCTAAGAACAAAAGGAGCTCCCTCTGTGCTGTGAAACCCTGTGACACCCTGTGAAATAATATCAGGGTATCAAACGAGACAAACAAGACAGACATTTATGTCTTATGTTTCATTCATTACAAATCACAAACATATAACACATCTTGGCAATCATTTCAATAGACAATGAGATGAGACTCACCATCCGCGTATTCCTTCAGAGATGTCTGCCCATGAAGATTCTGTCTCTTGTGTGTGGCAAGGATGTCGACGATCCCGATGTACTGACGTTTTCATTTTGGTGGTCTGGCACTAGCTCCCAAATGAAGATAGCAGAACTCCACCCAAACTTGCACTCTCATAAACAAGTCTATCATCTTAAACAGATTAGGATGACATTCAGGGCTACGCTCACTTCGTTTACGCTGCCACCCTTCCACTTGGTTTGTTGTTTCTTAGTGGTTCCGTACATTTCGGTCATGGTCACCTACTACCCAGTAACTTGTCACGTTGTCCGTAAACCTCTCAGGGTTGGCACCACCTGAAGCATCTTCCAGAGCCAAAAAACAGACATCGTTCACAACATGCAGGGGTACCAATGTTAAGGCAATGACACGCCGCACAAGTCGACCAACAGGGTTGAAATAATATTCTTTGGCAAGACGGTGATACTGGGCGTTTTTTTCCCAAATAGCGTGAGTAAAATAAAAAAAAACACAGCCCTTGAGATCAGAATCAGGGAACAAAGAACGAATAGTGTTTTGAGCTGCCGGCTCAAAGTCACTTCCACCATAAAAGTATGATGTTGGGGACAGAAGGTGAAGGTTTTCTTCTCTTTTTCAATGATAAGGGGTTTGTTCTGATCTCCATCAGATTTCAATAGAGAGTTATCGCCTGTGGTGGCGTTAGTGTATATTTCGGGTAGATCTGTCAGAACAGTGTCGTGGCAGGGCTGGGTTGTCTTTGGCTAAGTCTTGTTACTCAGACATCAGACCTACGAATAAAGGAAATTATCAGTTTAATGAAAGAATGTTCCAAAAACAAATTTGTGGTAACGGAAATAATTTCCAAAACATAATATATCTTTATAGGTATTCTTTACTTTCTAGCATTATTGAATGACGAGTGATTGTGACATATTATGAAAAGGTATGATGACATACCACCTGATAAATCTTCCCGGTGAACGGATTGGCTTCTAGTTCCCCCAGTGTGTTGCCTTCATGGCGGCGAAGACATTAATTGTCACCAGACATCATTGTGGTGGTTCTGTTAGTGGTGATGATGCCACCTCTGGTCTGGATTGTCACGCTACAGTCCTTCTGGCAAAATCCCCAGAAGATAGCGTAGATAGCGAAGATAGCTGGGTTTTTTCTAAACAGTTTTCGATTTCAAACTTAAGGGTCAATGTATTAAAATATTGCATGCGTGTTGTGACCGCCTCCGTGGTCTAGTGGTAGAGCGTCCGCCTGGAGAGCGGAAAGTCCGGGTTTCGATCCCTGGCCGCGTCACACCAAAAGACGTATAAGATGGTAGGGTCAACCAAACAAATGGATTTCCGGCATTAATGACACTTTAATTACGACAGGCAATAATAACATCTGGACTGACCAATTCTATCCGGACAGTGATTAGCTTCATCATAAAATAAAAAAATACTCTTACTGACCTACACGTATATATTCAAAATTTGAACTCTGACCGAGAAACATCGAGTAAAAGCAGATTCTAAAAGAAAATTAAAGAAAATACTGACATTGAATTTTATCTACAATATTTATCTAACAAATGTAAAACTAGTTTAGTTCAATTAAGACTTTCTTGTCTCCGTCTACCTGTTGAAACAGGTGGATGGCAGAACATTCCTCTCATGGAAAGGAATTGTACATTATGTCTATCAAATGACACAGCAGATGAATACCATTATTTGTTTAATTGTGTATATTTTAATGAATCATGAAGAAGGTTTTTATCTCCTCATTACAAGGGGCACGGGTGGCCCAGTCGTCTAAGGCGCCGCAATTCGCTGTGCAGGGTTGCGTCCCTTGGGCACGCCACAAACCTATGATTGTGGTTTCGAGTCCCGGTTCGCCCCGATTATGTTTCTAGATTTGTCAGCACCATATCCGTGCTCGTGTGTTTCACCGAAGTGGTAAACGTCTAAGACCTGCATCACTTCGGGCTTTCCTCCCACGTTAAGCTGACACGCCGTGATATAACTGGAATACTGTTAAAAGCGGCGTTAACCCCAACTCACTCACTCTATTACTATATCAGAATGAAACTTAGTATATGATACACATTGAAAAATGCATAACTAGTCGTTTGTTATTTTGAAATAATATTAAAATTGAAGTGTATGTGTCTGCTACAAATGCGTAATGAGTATCAGCCAGATTGGAGTAATGCATTTCGTATTGTTATCAACCTAGTGATCACAATAATTAGGATCTCTCTACGTATGTGTGATCTACCCAAGTACATACGTCAACCATGGTAACACCATTCACACAGCGGTATTTATTGAATTTTGCAGATAATAGTCCTTTTCATCGTGTATTAATACAACAATGTCTTGTAACTAATAATGAGGTGGATGTCCTAATGAACATATGCAGGCAATTATATATGTATGAAAGCACGACAATTGTACAAATTTGGGTTTACGTGAGAAGTAAGAAATACTAATACTATGTTTGTTTGTTTCAACAACAGCAGACATGAAGGTTGTGTGGTTTCTCCTTCTGCTTCTGATCTCCCCCATCAAGGTGAGTACACGTACCTGTCGTAGTTAGCCTAGAAACTGATGGCAACATGAATGTGCTTGCAGGCCACAATGCTGCCCCTCTCCTCAAACACTTATGTGTACTTGGCTGTTAGTTATTGTTGGCCTGATGCCCCTTGGGAGATGATTTGTTTTATTTCACCGAGGGTAATTTATTTATAACATTTATCTAGACGGGGGAGACGTGATTGTTGACGTGCTACAAGAGGAGGAAAATTTTAATGTTAACGTTTTCCACGAAGGGGGAAAAGTGTTCTTGACGTTTTGAAGAGGGACCGTGTGTTGTTGTGAATTGTCCAGAAAATGGTTTACTGGACCGAAGCGAAAATATTGTTGTTTTCTAAAGAGACGTTTAGATGTTGGTGATGAATGATGAAAGTCCAGTGGAGAAAAATCTTCTGTTGATGCGAGGTCTTTTGACATGTTTATAGACTTTGTTGATTTTGTTGTAAACAGACGACATTTTAGTAAAAGAATAGGATATAATAATTCAAGTACATGTACACACATGGCATCTTTCATAGCATACCCGTGATGGTTCAGCACGAATAACAGTATTGAAAAGCATATTCGAAGTACGAAATGGGTAGTCTTGTTGTTTGATGGGGAAATGCATCGGGTTCGTAAAAAAACATGCAGAACCTACATGCCGTGTTAGCAGCACTAATCGGTAATACAAATGCACGATGGAGAAAATACTGTCAAGTGAATATGAAAAGAAGAAAACTTACAGCTGCCTTCAATACAGATGCAGACTGCAGCTACATGGACACGAGGCACCGAGAACCCGGTGTATCACTACATATTATATCATTTAAAAATAACTGCATATATATTTAGGGTACATACGACGTGTAATGTCAAAAACATATCCCCCTTTCATTCCGTTCCCATATTTCGTGTTTAATATACGGGACACCGTGTGCCAGATGAGGTTGTGAATCCTGTGTTAGAGGCTAGCCTGAAAACTTTAGGCTTTAATGTCGTGATATAACTAACACAATGTTCAAAGATGTGTAAAACCCAACTCACTCACATTCTTATCACATTACCACAAAGTGAATTCTTTTTCTACAGATATCGCTGTCATATGATTTCAGTTCATGTTCTCTGTCGACAAGAAGTCATACGCCATGACAGTTTATACATGTCAACTTATTCCTGTCTGACCAATGAAAGATATTGTTTTAAGTGTACCTCACCACTCCGCACGAATGTAATTAATAATGATTTTACCGAATCACACTGTATGTCCCCAGCACACTGTTCTGCGCCACAGGGTCAGGAAGGTGTTGCAAGCAGGAACATGAAGGAAGGAATGTTTCTACGGCTAACATGACGACCCAAATCCATCCATCCCTCAAGTGATTAAGTATCTTTATCAGAATCTTTTGACCACTTTTTAGGTTTCCTTGATATATATATATACCCTATCAAGGTTATTGTGTTTGAAATGGACATCAGTTGTGAAAAAGGAGAAGTGATAAGAAACGAATTATCATATTTTCATTCCGAATTCGTTTCCGATTGTTCCGAAGTATTAGTAATACCATAAGTCCAAATACATATCATATACCATTATTTCCCATGCATATCATCTACAAATATTCCCTACACATGTTCTATGACATTATTGCCTAAACATATCATATACCAATGTTTCCTATAATATGATATACCATTATTTCTTATAATTTCATATGACATTATTTCCTACACATGTCATATACCATTATATCCAATACATATCCTATGATATTGTACCTAATAAAGTCGATATATTTTATTTAATATCATAGATACAAATATGAAATTTTGGAGCTCAATAGTCACATGTTGGCGTTGTACAAAGGCATTGAAAACTGTTCATTGTCATGTCACATAAGGCTACAAGGTTGCGCTGAACTCAGTATCTCGTGTAACCGCCCCGGGCAGCAATCACAGCCCTGCATCTCCTCGGCACTGACTAGATAATTGTACCAATTCTGCCCTGCGGAATTCTGCGCCATTCTGCTTGTAACGCGTTGGCCAGTTGTGGGAGTGTCTGCGGCGTGTTCTGAAGTTGACGTACACGTCAATCGAGTTCATCCCAGGGGTGTTCGATTGGGTCGAGATCTGGAGATATCGACGGAACAAAGACGTTGATGTTGGCATTATAGAAGTAGTCTCTACGGTGACACGAGCTGTGTGCGGTGGAGCGTTGTCCTGTTGAAACAGCTCCCTCTGGCGAAAGTCTAGATCTCGTGGTGTAGGATATGACCCCCCCCCCCCCCCCCCCCCCCCTCCCCCCCTCCCCCCCAACACACACACACACTACATGACACTACCTTCACGTACACGATGTGGGGCAAAACGCTCATTTCGACGGCGATAAACACGTTGTCTTACAATCGTGATTCATCGCTAAACCACGCTCGTCTCCAGTTTCTCAAATTCCAAGGCAGTAAGATATGGCACCAACGCAAGCGCCTCTGTCGATGGATCGCTAACTGGTCTTCTGGGTCGGATTCCAGCCTCGCGAAGATGGTTCCTGACAGTCTGGTCCGAGGTCCCCCTCAAACCAGGGATGCGTCCTGCAGTCTCCGTAGCTGTGGCATTGCGATGACGTAGGTGGAACAGGAGAATGTAGCGATCCTGTGCAGGGTTGATAACTCTTGGTCGGCCTTTTCTCGGACGGTCTGCAGTGGAATTGAACTGTGTGTATCGGTCACAAAAGGCGGCAAATTGTACTGCTGTGGACGTTGAAGTGGCTCGCAACAGAAGACTGCGATTGTCCTCTTTGAATACGTCCTATGGCGATGTTCCGATCGGCAGCGCTGAGTCTCGGGATTTTCGAACTTGAAAAATGTTGACAATTGAATGACAAATTATTGGCTTATGCTTGCCTTTTTATAGCCACTACCACAGTTACGAATGCCATAACTTGCACGTGAATTTTTCTTTACTGTTTTCCTCTATGGCATTTTTTAACAAGAGTTAAAACAATGCCGTTTAAGACGTTGCATATCGACAATGTCTGCGTTTTGACATACCGTTTGTCCAATATCAGGCCACCAACATTTTCCAATCACATATATCCAATTTATACACCGGATTTTTTTAGTAGTCAGGTTCAATGAACTACATACTACTTGTGCGTTTCTTTCTTTTTTGAAGGGTGTATCATATACCATTATTTCCTATAAATATCCAAGGACGTTATATCCTATACATATCCTATGCCATTATTTCCAAGAACCAGGCATTTTTTGTTTTAACAGATGAAATACCATTAGCGATGTCAACAAACCAACTTATCTTGGCGATAGATACTTATATACAATGGCTTGCAAATTCAAATCTCAGTTCTATATCTCTTACAGAAACCTATCAATGATTCAAGAAAGTGGTTGAGAGTGAGTGAGTGAGTTGGGTTTAACACCGCTTTGAATAGTATTTCAGTTATATCACGGCGTGTCAGCTTGATGTGGGAGTACATCCAAATGGGATGCAGGTAGCAGGCGTTATCACTTTGTTGAAAGCAACGAACATGTAGGCTGTGCTGACAAACCGCGGATCCTAATTGGGCCGAATCTTGCATTTTGATCCCATCGCCAAGGATACCCGTCATCTAAGGGCCGCAACACTCTCTACATAGATACTACGGGGACACCCATGCCCCCTGATCATGTATTCATGAAGAAAGAAAAACGCGTATTAACCTGAAAACAGGAGAGTAGTACCTGTTCTTAGAATCATCGCGATGACCGAGACTTTCTGAAGGGCCAGAACCAATCTGCTGACAGTACAGTATATGCCATGTTCTGTTAACAATCTTTCTGATGAAACAAAACATGGGACACAGCTATCCATATGTAATTACAAGGTTTTTCATATACTCAATGAGAACATGAAACACAGGGATCGCTCACACAAACTATTTTAAATAATGTCCTTAGATATTTTCAATAAAGTGTGCTTACACTATGCTAATTAAGTTAACTCGCGTTAATGACATTTTTCTCAAGGTGCTTTAGGACTACCCTTTCTGAAAAATGAGGTATGTCTCAATCAGAATAAAAATAACAATCTATTGTGCTACACACGATATTCATTTGGGAGATATACCTAGTGTGTATTGAAGTATGAGATCGTCTCACCATAGAATCGATACGATCGCATTTATTATATGTAATCGAGTACTTAAATCAGAGAAAATTGAGACATTAACTCATCAGATTCAATCATTCTTCAATACCAAGGAAGAATTATGTATGTTCCTGTGACAATTTATTGATAAAATAGTAGAATATGACAGGATTCAACATTGGACTAAGGCAGATGTAAAAAAACTACATTATAGTAGACAAATGTCGACAACTCTACAATGTGATAAAGAATGACGTAAAATATGTGTTTAACGTATTCCAGACCCAGGGGGATGACACCATGTTGCAAAATACAACCGGCACTGGGAATGATTCATCGACTGAAATCCCAAGTACGTCAATTTTTGGAAGACCGCAGAATTACCAGTCAAAGGGAAATAACTCCGACGATGACCCTTCTGAAACTCCTGTTGACATGCCAGATAAGTACCTCGATCGTGTATACATCTACTGGCATTACCTAGGCGGGGTTGTTTGTAGTATCATTTCCTTTGTAGGAATTGGAGGAAATATCGTAACGATTATAGTTCTATCAAGTCCTGAGATGAAAAGCTCCACAAGCATCTTCCTGATAGTTCTAGCGATGTTTGATGTTTGTGTGTTAATCAATATGCTCATTGCTAACACAAGGTGGATGTTGTTGTATTCAGCTTACAGCTCCACATATTTCCATTACTTCATGCTGCCCGCACTCCCTACAATGTACGCCGTAACAAACATCTCCCATACGGGGTCCATCTACACCGTTGTTGCAGTCAACTTTGAACGTTACATTGCCGTGTGCCATCCTCTCAAAGCAGCATCGTTCTGTACAATCTCCCGAGCCATAAAAACGTCCATCGCCGTCTTCATAATGTGCCTCATATACACCTCTCCACGCTATTTGGAAATGTATCTCAAATGGGACTGGGTACCCGAGTTCAACCAAACCATGTTAGTAGTGGGCATCTCTGATATGTCCTACAACTATTGGTACATGACAGTCTACTTGGTCTACATCAACGTCATCGTCAAATTTGTCATCCCTGGAGTCCTATTGGTCACCCTTAACACGGTCATGGTCCGCAAGCTCTACCGTACAAAGCCTAACCTTCAGAAACAGGAGCGGAAAGGAAGTGAGAAGGAACGTTTCACAGCAATGGTTCTGGCAGTGGTGGTAGTCTTCCTGGTGTCACTCGCAGCAGCCTGTCTGGAGCTGATCATGTATGAAGTCAACTCGGCAATGGTTTTGGAAGAGTGTTCGGAGATCTGTGGTTACATAAGCGGAATCGGACAATTGGCAGTTGTCACCAACTCATCTATCAATTTTCTTCTCTTCTGTTTTTTTGGACGGAAGTTCCGTGGGGTCTTCGCAAAGAAGTTTCTGTCCTGCTCTAGAAGATAAATGCAATTAATAACGCGATGGAATCCAGATTTGGACTGTAACGTTTCGCTTTGTCAATACACATATGTCCTTAGTTCGGACCCTCTGTCTTCAGGACGATGCCAGATTGAAACATCCATGAATATTCAAAAATGAAAGAATATATCTCGTAACCATAACTCCTTAAGCAGGGAAAAGCTTTTGTTCGCGGGAAGCATAACTGTTCGGTTTAAAGGTGTTTCATTATATATCAGTAGTCTGGTCGTTATGCTACATTTATACGGTCGAATTCAAAGAATTTTAAATACTTGTTCTGTTAAAAAACTGTATACTATTACTAAGAATAATTCCATTCAATATGACATTATATTCATGTCCTCTCTATAAGGCACTGATGAGTACATTATCTGAAGCCTATTCATAGTATCCTCTGTCGTCATGTGGATGAGGTATTTCCAAAAACGGCATGACATCATTGCCACTCGCTGACTCACTCACTCACTCACACACATAGTATCGTCACATGTCGAAATAGGACCTAATCGTACTATGATTTAAGCACTATTGATTTCAGTGAATCGTTTCAGCCCTTGTCTTGATTTAACAAGCCCCAAGAACGTAGCTCGTGCTTGCGGGTGCGTTTGATGGTTTTCACTCATGTTGATGTGTTTCGATAAAGGACAAGAAATAAATGATAACTGCAGTTAAATTTGGAAATGGTTTTTGTGTCTCTTGATCATTAAATAGAATATGGCTTCGAATTCACCTTTAGTATACTATAGATAATGTATTTACAGCTGTTCCACAACCACAGGAACTTCTAGTAGTCCTTGTTACAACAACATCCAGCTGCTCATTGTTACAACACCCAGCTGCTCATTGTTACAACACCCAGATACTCATTGTTACAACACCCAGCTGCACACTGTTACAACACCCAGCTACACATTGTTACGATAACACCCAGCTACTCATTGTTACAACATCCAGCTGCTCATTGTTACAACATCCAGCTACTCATTGTAAAAACACCCAGATACTCATTGTTACAACACCCAGCTACTCATTGTTACAATAACACCTATCTACTCGTTGTTTCGACAATACCCATCTACTCGTCGTTACAACAACATCCAGCTGTTCATTGTTACAACATCCTGCTTCTCATTGTTACAATAACACCCAGCTTCTCATTGTTACAACACCCAGATACTCATTGTTACAACACCCAGATACTCATTGTTACAACACCCAGCTACTCATTGTTACAACACCCAGCTACACATTTTTACAACAGCCAGTTGCTCATTGTTACAATAACATCTAGCTTCTCATCGTTACAACACCCCGATACTCATTTTTACAACACTAAGCTACTCATTGTTACAACACCTAGCTTCTCATTGTTACAATAACACCTAGCTTCTCATTGTTACAATAACACCCAGCTACTCGTTGTTACAACACCAAGCTACTCATTGTGACAACATGAAGCTACGCATTGGTACAACACCCAGCTACACATTGGTACAACAACACCCAGCTACTCATTGTTACAACATTCAGTTGCTCATTGTTACAATAACACCCAGCTTGTCATTGTAACAACACCCAGCTACAAATTGTTACAATAACATCCAGCTGCTCATTGTTACAACATCCAGCTACTCGTTATTACAACAACACCCAGCTACACATTGTTACAACAACATTCAGGTGCTTATTGTTACAACATCCAGCTGCACATTGTTACAATACCCAACTACTCATTGTTACAATAACACCCAGCTACTCATTGTTCATCATCTCATCATCATCTTTTATTCCAATAAGACCGCTCACAGCGGTACATGGTGTACAGTTACAATATGTAGCAAATATGTTACAGAGGCTGTTGATATATGTTTACACCATTAAATAAACAACGGATAAATTTACTCAATTTTCTTACAGTTGAAATCTTTGGGCAAGTCATTAACTGTTGGAGCTTATAATAGTTTGGATAAGTATTATAGTAATATTTTTGGAGATATTGTTCTCGTTCAATAGTAAAATATGGACATTTGAGCAGGTAGTGGTATTCATCTCCCACAGAGGAATTGCATAAATGACATAGTCGTCTTCTAAATGGTATATTTTTCCACCTCCCTGTTTCTACAGGTAGAAAATGATTAGTTGTTCGAAATTTTAGCAAGGGAATGGAGATATTTACACTATAATCTAAGTATTGTTCTAGACTAAAGTTGGGTTTTATACAACTATAAAATAAACCTTTTGATGATGCCGTTTGGGCACTGTGCCAATTTTGAATAAAATGGTCCTTTAATCTGTGTTCAACTAGATTTAATAATAACTCTTTACTGTTTACTGTATGATCATATAACAACCAAGGTGAATGAAAAATGTTATTACAGTGTTTTTGATATAAAGTCTTATACATAACAACAGAGAGCTTATTTACATTTTGTGACAATATCAGGTTGCACCAACAGGCCAATACTCGTTTGTTAACAATAATATCGAGTGGTAGGCGACCTGTCTCGCCATATAGCTTGTTAGTGGGTGTGCTCTTACGTAATCTTAAACTTAATTTTAAAAATAACTTGTGGACATTTTCAATGATAGAAAAGTCTGTAAAACCCCAGACATCGCAACAGTATAGAAGAATTGGAACAACCATGTGGTCGAACGCAATAAATAAACAATCTAATGGTAGATTTAAGTTTCTAGCTTTGGATAACAAATAATACATAGCTTTAAGTCCTTGTTCCGTAAGAGATATTATGGCTTGGTTAAATTTTCGGTTCATGTGAAACTTTATACCTAGATAAGTGTAACAATCACAATTATCTAGTTCAACATTATGAATTTTAAAAACATACTTTTTCTTACGCAGAATAATTGCAGAAGTGCCAAAGATAATAACCTTTGTTTTTCGCATATTTATCTTGAGTTTCCATTCAGTGCAGTATTTCTCGAAATTATCTAAACAGTGCTGTAGACCTTCAGGGGTTTCAGCAAAGAGCACCGTATCATCAGCGTATAAAAGAAGGAAAAGTTTAAGTGTGCCAATGTTGATACCATCACAATTAATAGATTGCAAATAGGTTTCTATGTCGTTCAAAAAAATAGCAAATAACAAAGGCGACTGATTTTCTCCTTGACGGACACCATTATCACAGTTGAAAAACCCCCAGATATTTGACCGTTTAGACAAAAACATGACTTTATATCATTGTACATATTCCTTATAAGAGTAAATAATTTTCCTGAAATACCATAGCTTACAAGTTTAAGCCACAGTCCGTTCCTCCACACTTTATCAAAGGCTTTTTGAAAATCAACAAAAACACAAAATAGTTTTTTACCTGAATATTTCAATAGTTCAATGATACTATTCAAAACGTAGACATTATCAACAGTAGAGTATCCTTTACGGAATCCGGCTTGAGCTACAGATAGTTTCAATATAACGTGTTAAACGCAGATTAATAACACTTGTAAACAATTTCCCTAGGCAGGATAAAATGGTTATTGGTCTATAGTTTTCTGGTTTGGAAACATCCCCCGTTTTCTTATAAATTGGTTTGATCATTCCCATTAACCAGGGTTCAGGCAAATGTCCTGTCTGTAAAATTAGGTTAAACAGTTCGCAATACAATTTTAAAAGAATAGATTTGGTTGAAATAATATATTCATTTTCAATCATGTCTATACCTGATGCTTTCTTATTTTTAAGTTTATTAATTGCTTCTTCTATTTCTTTAGTGTCAAAGCTTTTGTTGAGATCATTATCAATGTCGTTCGGCTGTGTTACAAAACAGCCACTTTCATCTATAGCACTATTAATGTCTTTAAAGTAATTATAAAGTTCATCAAATGAGACATTCTTGGAGCTAGGGCCAGGTTTATCTTTAAAATATTTCCAAAAACCTTTCACATCGTGACGGGCCATATAAGAAAATTTGCCTTTCATAAAATGCACATGGTTTAAATACTTTTTCTTTAAGATTCTTTTGTAGTCTTTATTAACTTGTTGTAACACAACCTTATCTAGAGGGTTTTTTGAAACTTTAAATTTTCTTCTTTTTTTCCTGTATATTCTTTTCATATTACGACAGTCTTGGTCATACCATTTATGAAAGTTATTTTTAGACTTGAACTTATGAGCTGTTTTTTTTTTAGTACCGAACACATCACCAGCTGTATTCACAAACAATGTAATATATAAACAATCAAAGTCCAAGATCTGAAAGTCTTTGGTTAAAGGGACAGCTTCATACGATGACACGACATAATCAATAACACTACAGTCTTTACAGGTGACAGCACCGATGTTTTTATCTTTTCCCAATCTTCCGTTTAATATAAGAAGAGGTAAAGTTTTAAACATTTCAATGAGTTGACGACCATGTCTATTTGGTTCAGACCTGTCTTGAGAGACTCGTATTGGCGACACGTCGTTTAATTCAAAAATATCATTATTATTAAAGTACTCCATCTCAGAGTCGTCTACACCAATGGAATGGCTAATAGTGGTGTTTATGACACATGTATCTTCAAGAATACTCGTATGGGCATTAAAATCTCCTAAAAGATAGAAATATCTTGTAATATCTCGTATATTAAGAATATCACTTGACAAATCCTGAAAATGACTGTCGCTTGCGTACCTAGAGTTAACAGGTGGGATATAAACAAATCCAATACAAAGATCACTATCTGTACTTAGCATTACCTTACTGATACGTATCCACAAGGATATATCATTGTCAGATGGCACAACAGTAACATAAGGTGCTATTTCATTTTTAATGAGAATTCCTAGACCTCCTGACCTTCGACCGGTCGTGTTTCTATTTTTGAGAATAACAGTATAATCTTTGATGTTTATACTAACATCCAACTCATCTGTTTTGGTTTCTTGTAGACCAATAATATCACAGGAATTGAGAAGTTTATGAAACTCTGGATATTTTAACTTACTACGAAATCCACAAACATTTAGGGATAAAACTTTCAATTGTTTGTTATTGGGGTTACTTTGTACACTTATTTCACTAGATATTAATCCATTTCTTTAATCCAAGCTACTGGTATCAAAGACTGTATTAACACTTGTATTATGGTAAACTAAGGGCAAGTTATTATTTCTATTAGATTGGTTTTCTGATTGTTCAGCATTGACAGTAGGCTGTGGGTAGTGTCCGCTGTGAGTGCCCTATGTTCTCGGGTTCGAAGTATCCATTGAAGGGTGTACACTGAGTGGAGAACGGGTGGCCATGGTGAACTCTTTCCTGGGTGGGGGTGGTCGGTATGGGGGAGAGGTATCCGGGAAGAACTGTTTGCCATCAGTGTAGATTCTGTCCACAACAATACGGCACTTCTTGTTATCTGTTCTGGCTTGTCTCATCAAAGGGTACAGAACCAACTTCCGGTACTCTCTCACGGCATCAGGGAACTGCTCTGCAACTGTGTATGGAGAACCTTTTAACTTTCCATATGCAGCGTATCTCACCTCATCTCTATCTTTGACTGACCGAAATCGGGCAATGATTGGTCTGGGCTTGGGATTAACTCCCTTGAATCCCCCCATACGGTGAACTTTCTCTATATGAGCATCAGATATATCAATTTTTTGTTTAATGAAGTCAGTCAAGACAGTAGTTGTAT